AAATGAACACATTATGTATGAATGGGGCAACACTTTGCTTCAATGTGAGGTCTGATCAATGGTAAATATACTGAAATTCCTTTATTATGATGTCTAATCCTCTCCCATTTGGTCTGTACTTGTTTCTTTTCTCAGATATGACCCAATATATGGTGTACATAAACCCATTTTACAATAAGCATAGCTATGCCAAAGCTGCCATTTATTAAGAACTTTCTATGTGGAAGACATATATTATTAGGCATTTACCCATCTTATGTTTTTGTTTTCATGCTCCTAAGACCCATAAAGCAGGTTTTGAAACTGAGGCTCACCAGCAGTAAGAAAGCTACCCCAGAACCTACACTGATAAATGCTTCCAAGAGCCTGGAGCAGCCCCATCTGCTGGACTCCAGAGGCTCCAGTGTTTCCAGCATACACGTGGCCTTCTTATCAGTCTCTGAGGATGCTTTTAAGTACGCTCAACCAGTCCAAAATCTGTCTCCTCATCAGAGAAAGATGTAGCACTTTATATGCTAAATATGCAAATGCCAATGGTAAGGTTTTAAGAAATTGACTTGAATAGATACTGGATCTGTTATTTAGAAACAGTCTGTCAAGGATGATAATATTTTGGAATTACTACTTTACTGCTCCCAGCATTCTCCTCGTGGCCTAGGAGAATTTGTGTACATTCCAGTGGTAATAGAGTCTTGTGCTGGCACTGTACACTCTTCCCACATTCTGTGACCTTGGCTTCTGCCCCCGAGACACACAGGAGCTCATGGAGCTCCCTCCCCTCCCCCCGACTCTAGGACAGAGCTGTGTCTGGGACCAGTGAGAAGTCCTGGGATCAGGAGAGTCTGGTTAAGTAGCAGTGATCAAATTTTGAGTTCTTCGAATCTTTTGGATCATGCTGACTGGCTATGGTTTAGAGCAAATCACTTTGCATGCTTCTTTGTTTCCAGTTCACCATTCATTAACTTGGTAAAGATCCAAGGTAAAATTAAACATATTGGCTTGAATTTCATACCTTTATTTAACTCAGTACTTTCTCTTCATTTGTGGAGATGGTCTCCACTGATTTCTGTCATTTCTTGGGGAGGAGGCAGCTGCATGGCTCAGACTGCTCAGAAGACTCTGATCTCTACACAGGGAGGGGTGAACGGCACTATCAAGGCCGATCAGGAAGATGAGGCCACCTTGAGGGTCCATACCTGCTCTTCAGCACTATACCCTGGAACTCAGCCCCCTAGGTTCTCAGAGACCATGGACTGATCCTTGGTGGCCTCTAACTCAGCTGAAAAAATACATAGCCCTGGGTCTCATAGGGATATGCAGGGTCTTAGGATCAAGTGACCTTTGGTGTCAAGAAAATTGGAGGATGAAAATTTTTTAATATCTGGCCTCACTGAGACTTGAAGGAAGAAAATAAGCCCGAGTCAGTAAAGGCCCCTGAATTGGTAGAAAGTGCAGGGAATGACCTTCATTGAAGCTTCTCTGACCACTCAGCCCTGGGATCATCATTGATGTCCAGTTTCTATGCTCAGTGCGCCCTCTCATGCCCTCTGTGGCCACTTGTCTAATGAGGCCGACCCCTTGGGATCCTAATGTGGAACTGAGCCTTCTGCCTGGTCCTTAGCTGCATTGGGGTTAGGGCCAACAGCTCCTGAGAGCCAGGAGCCCCAAACCGCCCTTAGGAATCCTCTGGGACCTCTGCGTTACTATGGGGTGGTAAGTGCAAGCCACTTCAGAGGGACAGATGGATAGCCAGAGAGGGACACCAAACCACCCCACCCCAGCATTCTCAGGCTGCTTAAGCTTTTACATCTTTCACAGGATATAGTACTTTCACTTTCTGACATGCTGAGCAGTCAGCATTCCATACCATGTGCATTCTAGCCAGTGCATTCTTGAGAATACAGTGTATTTATTCATGCCCATGCCATAGCATGGGTATATTCGTAAACTTTATGCCTTTGAAAAAGTCATCTTCTCATTCACTTACTCTTGTATACATTCGTTCAGTGATTCATTTGTTAATTCATTCAACAAGCATTGAATGCTGACTGTAACCTGGCAGCTTTGTGGAGAATGAGGGAAAATACTGAGTCATAAGCGATTGTTACATAACCCCCCAAACTGCAAATTGCCTGTAATATATAATTTACTATGGTTAAGTCAGACTTACTAGATTTTAAGAAATCAAAATAAAGTCATGTCATGGAAGTCAGCGTTGAAGAATTACCTAACTCTTTTCCAAATTTAAAAAGTAATTAGTAATTAGTCTGGCAGTGAAGTTTTTCTAAGTTCTGTGACATTTTGACATTTATGCAATTACCATGATACTTTTATATGGCATCAATTTACACTGTAATAGGCTCCTGGCAAATAACCATCTCATGACTTCTAATGTAAAGAACATGAACTACTAAGTAACCTTTTGTTGTTAAAATTCTTGATCCACATACTACCCATTACCGGTTAAGTTGTGGGATCTGTGGCTTTGGTATATAAGTGCATGGATTAAATAACATTAATGTGTAATTACATGAAAATAAACCATGTAGTTTAGTTAAATTGCAGTACAATTGTTATCACTGGATGTAAAGTGATACCAATTAAATTCCTTTAAAACACCGCAAATTAAGATTTAACGACTAGAGAAATTCTAGAATGTAAGTTATAGTACACCATAGGTAGAATATCCCTGGGTATTTTCAGATGTTTAATGGCCATTTATGAAGTTAAAAACATCTTTTTCCTTTATGACTGGAATTAATTGTACTTTATTCAGGCAAATTTCAAAGACATCAGATAACTTCTTCAAAGACATGTATTAACAAGTTAAGCCTTTGAAATATTGACAAAAAGTCAAATTACGAATACTTGTGCTCTTATAGAGTAAATATTAGATTTTAGTGGGATGGGCATTGGGGTAGAATTTGGGACCAGGAAAAACATGATACTAACGCTAATACAAACTCTTAAATTGTAAAATTTTATCAATCAAAAACAGTTGAATATTAGCAACTTTGTATCATTTAACTTAAAAAAATAATAGAAATGAAACATTACACAAGTATTAGAATTAAAAATACTATCCTCCTTCTTATATTCATCCCTCAAATGTACTGATTGCTTGCCAGCTAAATGAAAGTTATTTAACTTCAGCCTCTCAATTTTTTCTTTAGGAAAACAGGGTTATAATAGCCACACAAAGGATTATTGTAAGGATTAAATGAAGACAGCGTAGTCAAAGGACTCAATACAGTGCTTTACACAAAGTCAGCATTGATAAATGTGCTTCCTTTCCCCTCCCCCATTTTGCATCTTTTACATTTACTTATATGAATACTTGTACTCGGGGCTGATGGTATAGATCTGCAGATTCAAGGTCTAAAATATTTTAGGCAAGTGAGAATTTAATCAAACTTGCAGTTTTCACACAAAGCACTAATATATTTTTCAGTCAGGAGACAGATATTGTAAACAGGAAAATTTGGAAACTTATGGTTGAACTTACAGTCCTGGTGACTTTTTCTTTTAGCAGAACTTTAGATACTTAAGAAAAATTATCTACAGAGATGAATCAAATCTTTCCCTCATACATGCCGGTCTGTAACCCACACGTGCCTCTATGTGACCAGGTCTCCATGCCAGATGTTCCAAGTAGCTCTTCATTTAATCATGTCTTCTGACAAAACCTAAACAAATATATCAAAACTTGTACAACATTTAGCAAGTGCAACTTGAAGATTTTCTTTCTGTTAGACAAATAGACGCCATCTGGAAAAAATAACCCCAGGCGCTTGGAAGCAGGAGTATGCAGCTTATTGGCTGAACACCCCATGAATACCTTAGACTACTTTCTTTGGCTCCTACCCTCTGCCTGTTCATTTCAAACTTGCACACTCCAGCAGGCGTGCTGCTGTCAGACAACCGAGCCCTTGTTACCCACGCGCTCAGACACTAGGAAGACTCGCTTACTTTGAAAGACAGGCTTGCAAGAGTTATCTGGACCCACTTTGTTTCCTTCACATTATGGCACCTGCTCTCTAAAGACTGCTGACTCTCGCTGTGTTCTGATATGAATTGGTAACAGCATTTTACTAATCAGTTCCGTGTTTACCACATTCTGTTTTTAAGCAGTAGTGTCCTCGTATACTTTTCCCTTTCTTCTTTGCTCCCTCCCTTCCTGTTTTATCTAAAAGCTACTTTCTAAAAGGAAAAAGCCACTCATATGTTACTTATTTTACTAATTTACTTTTATTCCTAAATTAGTATTATAGTGATATTCATGTTATTTTGCCTTTCATAATTAGCTGAACTGCATTTCAATGATTTTGTCATCTTCTAGGGGAAAATGAAATAAATGCAAATAGTCAGAAATCAAGAAAATCATCTTAATTTTTATTTTGATGACATAATCCTCATGATAAAAATAGCTTTTAATGGCACAGTCTTCATATGTCCAACTTTCTCTGCTACCATACTTACACAACATATTTAAGTTATAGCTTTACTAAGTTTTTGTCTTTTGTCTGTTGTGAGCTTGTAGCACTTCAAACCACAAAAGCAGTCACCTCAATACTTCTGGAATTCATTTTATTACATCTCATGATCTGAGCAGTAGGGAGCTCTATGAAACATGTTTGATCAAATATTAATTTTATAAATTGCTTTTCCTTCCCCACAATTCCTATGAAAAAGGTATTCAACTAGATTAAAACTCTGGAAAATTTTAATGGGACCTTTGAAATCTGTTTGAGCTCAGCTTCTTGGAAAAATAAAACTGCCTAATGGAAGCACTCTTTATATGAGAAGTGGTTATGCCTTAGAGGCAATTTTCTTCCATGCATAATAGAGAACTTGCAGCGGGATAATCTGAGTATTGGAAATGTCTTTGCCAGATCTTTAATGCTGCTTGTAATAGTATCTGAAGGGGTTGTGTGTGTTTGTTCACCGTGATGAGAAGAAGGGGATGGTAATTTGCAACAATGTCACCCTTGTCTTTGCAGTCCTACCCTGGCCCAAGCCTGGAAAGCGAAGACTTCAACATTCCGCCCATCACTCCTCCTTCCCTCCCTGAGCACTCTCTCGTGCAGCTGAATGAGGTCGAGCCTGGCTACCACTCTCTGTGTCACCCAGTGAACCACAATGGCCTGCTACCGTTTCATCCACAGAGTATGGACCTACCTGAAATCACCGTCTCCAATATGCTGGGGCAAGACGGAGCACTGCTTCCCAACTCCATTTCTGTGGTAAGAGTCTGCTTCCTGTTTTGTGTTGGGGAGTGGGGGACACCACACTGACAAGGTCTAAATTCATGCGAGGAGCTTTCAATCATCATAACATGGCTTTCTGAAACTAGAATAGTTCTCAGCCATGGAAGATGTTCTCCATAAATCCTGTAAAATCCTAATACAGTTTTCCATCTTATATTTAAGTCAAAGCAAAATCAATTAACCACATGTTTGATCACTTATATTTATAACCCAAAGTACTAAATACTGTTTAACCTGAATGTCTGATCATGTGGTCAGACTGTCTTACTAGCTTTAGATAAAAATTATCATGAAGGTGCCATGTCTCATCCAGTGCAGGATTTCTCACCACAAGCAAGATCCCCCACATCTTCTGGGAACTGCTATGAAGGTTGGTTTCACCCCTGTTTTCTGCTCTCAGATCCCACAAATTTATATAATCAGAAAGCAAGAAAACAGTCTTCATCTTTATTTTGAAGATATAATTTGGGTGATCAAAATTTATCTCCACTAAAATGTTCCTGTATCTTGGACTTTGTTGTTACTCTGAATCTTCTAATGTTCTACACTTCTCAAATTTAGTAAGAATATGTATCACCAGAAAATTAGCAAAACTTAAATTCTTAGCCCCTACCCAAAAGTCCAAGAGTCTGTATTTTTAACAAGCATCCTGTGCTTGAGAATACAGACATCATAAAATCTTTCCTTCTGACTGTTATGTCATTTAAAACCTTAATAATTTCTCTGTCTATATCTCATGGAGTGAAAAATATTGTCATCAGTATATGGCCAAGGGCAGAGCTTTCTACCATGTCATGAAACTCTCTGAGGTTAATAGAAACTTCTAATGAATGACAGGTGGGATGTTGAAGTCTTTACTTTGGTTCCATTGTTCAATCACTTAACAGACCAACCATCTCTGTTGTCATTTTTGTAAGTCACTGAACAGTGCTGCCATATTCCCAATGAACAAATCGATTAACTTGCTTATCTTATGTTGTTACTGATAGGAAAGTGTTTGATGTTGTCACTTATCTAAATCATCTGGGGATGTATCTCTAACTTGAGTGACTTCACTAGAAGGTTTTGCTGTTAACCATGAACATAAAGTGGGGAGATGGAGAGTGGAAAGAAATCTATTTGTAGTTTGGGGAATGAAGTCCTGAGCCTAACGCCACAGGTCATGGTAGGGTGTAGGATTCTCCGCAAAACTGGCAGCTAGCTGGTTGGCCTAAAGAAGAGGACTTGTTCCCGGCACCAGCAGTAGCAAAAATCTCTACACTGTTGTCCTGGTTTTTAGATGATATTACACTGTATAAATTTATCCTAAGAGTATTAGTGTGACCTCATAAAATGGAAGATGAATTTTTTTAGAAAATATGCTGTGTAAATCTGAATAATGTTTTACTTCAAAGTAGTGACCTTGAAAAATCATGTGCCTATTCCTCTTTGGGGCTAAGGTTTAGACCCAGTTCAGGAGCCACTAAGGCATCCAAGTCATGCTTTCTAGGCTCCCCTATTCACTGAGAAGGAGAGGAAGGATGAATGCGGGGCAGGAGGCACCAGTTTTGTCCTCCTCACCTCTTCTTTGTGTGCTCATGAGGTTGGGCTGTGGGAGGACAGTGAGATCCTCAGTTAGAGAGGTTTAGTCTCAAAACCCTTTTCCTTTCATATAATTTGCCTTCTTAGCATTCCGAGGACTCTCCCAATTCACCATTCACTCTTTAAGAGGTGAGTGTGTAACCTCAGTGTACACTCACCTGGAGTTTGCCCAGGTTTGCTGTTCTTGGTCACTCCGTCCTCAGCTGACAGGCTCAGGACTGGCCCTAGTCCCAGTCATGAAGCACCACTATCTAGGCCCTTCCTCTACGGTGCTTCCATCTTTCCTTGTCATGAGCGTCTCTCATCCTAATTCTTCCTGCTTCTTTCCACTTAGAAACTGGACTTCGGTGTTTTTCCCCCTTAACATTGTGTTTGCACACTTTACAAGGCAGAGCAATCCTCTTCAGCCTAAGCTAAGCAAGTAAAGTTCTGATGTGCTATTCCAGTTCTTGGCATGTAAGTCTGTCAGGGTTTTTCATAGACGGTGAGACTTCCCAGTACCTCCAAACCATATTCTGAGGTGGACATCTGCCCTGCCTCCTCACAGAACTGGTCCTAGCATTTTATGCTTTAAATTAAAAGCTGCTCCAACAAATCCAATTTTGGCAAGGCTTTGGACAGGCTTCAGCACTGTCCAATAGAACTCTCTGTGCTGATGGCTTTTTTATTATTCATGCCATCCAATATCAAGAGTCATTGGCTATTGAACACTTTAAACATGGCTAGCATGACTGAAGGACTAATTTTCATTTTATTTCATTTTAATTACACTTAAGATAGCAACATGTACCTAGTGGCTATGGTCCTGGACAGCATAAATCTAGTTAATTATGTTGATTTAACATTAAATCTATACTAAACTCATTTTTTAAGCCAGCGTGGTGTTGGAAAAAGTAGATTTGGAAGTGAAATTTGTTTTTAGAATTCTGTTTCAAGGTTTGGATCTCTGACTGTATTCCAACAGCCAGAGTCTGATATACTGCAAAGTTGCAATAGAAATCTAATACAGTTGGAAAGATCGACTTTATTGGAGTCTGCTAATTCCTTTGAGAAACAAGGGGCCTCTCCAGTTCTTATTTCGAGCTGGTATGCGTTTAGAACACCATTCATCAGTGTGTACACTTTGAATGCTTTCCCTGCTCTAAATGTTTGCAAAGGCTCAGATGATCGAGAAGATACAGTCACTGTCCTTAGGAGCTCATAAACTGTATAGAAAAAGCATAACTAAGTGTGAAACAATTTGAGTCAAATATGAAGCAACTAGAGACAAGAGAAGGGTAAACACAGTTTCACTGACTGTGGACCCAATAGGAATCCTACCTGGAAGAATTATAGCCATCTGGCTTGGATATTTTATAAACTTAGTGGGAAAGGTATGATGCCAGTCCAGTCTTGAAAGGTAGTTTTGATTTGGACAAACAGAGAGGAAAGAAAAGGCATCTAGGAGAGAGCATTTGAAAAGCAGGTTGGATACTCTTAAGTTGGGAGATTTGACCAAAGGTTTCAAAAACTACTCTAAGGACAGTGGACTTGATAAAATAGATTCTAAGAAACCATGGGCTATTTTCACTGAAGGCAAAAGCATTATGAAGGCAGTGTCATAGGAATATCCTTCTGGCACCTCTCTGGAGGGACTGCAGTAGCAAGAAACTGGAGCTGTGTCGAGTCTGGGAGCCTATTATCATAACTCAGGCAAGGAGTGTTGAGACACAGGGTGGTGACGGTGAGAACAGAAAGATGAGCTCGTAAGCTGTTTGCACATCATTCCCATATCGGCAGACCTAAAGATGAACAGCCCTTCATATCACCATGTTTTATGTTTTAAAAGCACTAAGTATTATCTTCTCTGAAAGTAACTTTAGGTCTATACGATCCCCTTTTCATGCATCTTTGTATAAACTGACTAAAACTCTTTTCTAGCAACTTTGCTTGTATATGTGATTGATTGGTTTGCCAGTTGTTGATGTATATATAAGACATATGTATGAAATGAAATAGTGTACAATTTAGGCCATCAGTGCTCATATAGTTGAGGAAATAATGGCTACAGAATCAGAATGTAAAAACATCCCACCTAGAAATTACAGGGCTCTTTCTGTAATTTCTCATCTCTTCTTTCAAGGTCTCTTAAAGTTTGGAAACAAATAATTAAAGCTAACACTTGTGAACTGTAAATAATTACTTGCTTTAAATTTTTAAATCTCATGAATATGAGCCACCCTATGTAGATTTATGTGTAGAATCAACTATCTACAACTTTATTTTACAAAAGCCCTTCAGTTTTATTAAAGCTGAGCCTTTTGCTGTTAGTACAATGCTCAGATCTTTTTTAAAATATAATTTATTTATTTGTTATTGATGGATAATTTGCTTTACAGAATTTTGTTCTTTTCTGTCAAACCACAACATGAATCAGACATAGGTATACATATATCCCTACACTTTTGAACTTCCCTCCCATCTCCCTCCCCATCCCACCCCTCTAGGTTTATATAGAGCCCCTGTTTGAGTTTCCTTAGCCATACAGCAAATTTCCATAAGCTACCTAATTTACATATGGCAATGTCAGTTTCCATGTTACTCTTTCCATGCATCTCACCCTCTTCTCCCCTCTCCCCCTGTCCACAAGTCTGTTCTCTATGTCTGTTTCTCCATTGCTGCCCTGGAAGTAAATTCTTCAGTACCATTTTTCTAGATCCCTTATATATGTGATAGAATATGATGTTTATCTTTCTCTTTCTTTTGACTCACTTCACTCTGTATAATAGGTTATAGGTTCATCCACCTCATTAGAACTGACTCAAAGGCACTCCTTTTTATGGCTGAGTAATATTCCATTGTGTATATGTACCACAAATTCTTTTCATCTATTGATTCATCTATTGATGGACGTCTAGGTTGCTTCCATGTTCTGGCTATTGTAAATAGTGCTGCAGTGAACAATGGGATACATATGACTTTTTCAATTTTGGTTTCCTCAGGGTATATGCCTAGGAGTGGGATTGCTGGGCCATGTGGTAGTTTTATTCCTAGTTATTTACGGAATTTCTATACCATCTTCCATAGTGGCTGTATCAATTGACATTCCCACCAACAGTTCAAGAGCATTCCCTTTTCTCCACACTCTCTCCAGCATTTATTGTTTGTAGACTTTTTGATGATGGCCATTCTGACTGGTGTGAGGTGATATCTCCTTGTAGTTTTGATTTGCATTTTTCTAATAATGAGTGATGTTGAGCATCTTTTCATGTGTTTGTTAGCCATCTGTATGTCTTCTTTGGAGGAATGTCTGTTTAGGTCTTTTTCCCACTTTTTGATTGGATTGTTTGTTTTTCTGGAATTGAGTTGTATGAGCTGCTTGGATATTTTGGAAATTAATCCTTTGTTAGTTGTTT